AGTTTGACCAAAAATTTAAGGCCTTCATATTAATTACTTATCCAGGTCAAGGTGAAACGAATCTAAAATAAGGTTGACAGGAATGCTAGAATGACAACTTGCATTCTGATGCTCAACTATATTTCTTCTTCCAAAGGAATTCCAACGAGAACTTCTGAATGATGTGCAATCGTATAAGGAATAATGTGTTTCGGCTGTTTTTCTTCGACATGGTAACCCCACCCCACCAACCGCTTCACCTAGGAATCAAATTCTGGCTCTTCCCCACCTTGCTTCCTGGAGACTACATATGGTTTTGGAGGTGGAGGGTCCTTATCACTAGGCTATGCCTCCCTTGTCAAAAGTGTTTTGGTTATATATATTATGTATAGAGTGTTAGGACTTGGGACCTTGTTATCTATGGAGATACTGACTAAGTTGTGGACTTGGGACCTAAGTCTTGTTTTAATGACATGTGTTATTGTTGTTGCCCAAATCAGTTACTCCGTCCCAATTTATGTAATGGTATTTCCACTTCAGTCTGTCTCAAAAAGAATGGTAGCTTTCTGTGTTTAGAAAGAATTTAACTTTAAACTTCTCGTTTTCCCTTAATAAGATGATTTATAGCAACACAAATACCTATGACTTGTTTTAGACCCAAGTTTCAAAGTCTCTTTTTTTTCTTTCTTAAACTCCTTGCATGGTCAAACAACATCACAACTTCTGTTTCCCAGTAGTTCTGGAATTTGCTTGAACATTATTAGAACTCAGGAGCAATTGCCTATTTTACTATATAGATGCATACATATGCGTCTGTGTATGTATATATATATCTACATGTATGTGAATCCATTATAAAAAAACTGTCTGGGGAGGGAGGGAGTCAGGGAGGTGCACAACTCTGAACTGCTATGGAGTATTTGGAAATTATGAGCTCGGTTGAACTAACTCTCAATCCCAAACTTTTATGAGCTCAGTTGACTCATAAATATGGCTCTATGCTTGCACTTGATCTATGTCCCATGAGTGATGATGCCAGTCAAGATTGAGCGATGAAATCAAGATATATGTACCATTTGATATCACAACAACAAAAACAACAACCCAGTGAAATCCCACAAATGGGGTTTGTGAAGGGTAGTGAGTACGCAGACCTTACCATCTGATATCACACTCCAGTTAAATGTGATTCTGCTGTAGATGTATTTATGAGAATTAGATCAATAAGAAGTCACTGAAGATGTAGCATGTGGTGAATTAATTTTGCTGTCTCATGGGGTATCCGTCTTGTCTCAATCAGCATTGCTGTGTTCTGGGAGTTCATAATGTGTTTTGTGTCTTTTTCTTATATGCATGTTGAGACATAATATATCAGGTATTAAAACTGTGCTCTCTCTAATAGCTTAAGCTTTTAGATGAGATGATAACATGGTATCAGAGAAGGCAAGCCATCCAAATTCCACGTATTTGGCCCATGAAAAAGAACCAGGCCCATACGTGAGGAGGCATGTTGCAACATAATATAATTGGGTAATTAAAAGTATGCTCTAAGCTTTTTGATGAGATGGTCACACATTCATTATTTTTGTATATAAAAAGAGATTACATAATGCGTCTTAGATTGTTTCCTCTTGGAATAGTTTGTTTCCCCTTTCTGGCTTGCTTTCTCTATGTTTGATGGTTGAGATCTCAAGTAGCAAGCTCTTGAGGTCTGTAAGATCCTTGTTTGGTGTGGATTTTCATCTGTCTGATTGCAGGTTTTTGTTCATCTTGTAGCTATGGTATGTCCAATATCCAAATGAAGGTCCATGGTACGAGTTACTGGTCATCCCTCTTCGGTTTGAGCTTCTTTGTTCCATCATGATTCCCATTTCAATAAAGGTATGCTGTAAAGTATCCTTTGCAATATGGTTGTCGCATTATGGTATTTTTTGTCATATTCTAGAGTATTTTTGTAATCCTTTTTTTTTGGGTAAGGTAATAAATTTCATTAAAAAAGAGTAAAACATGCCCGTATAGAAGGAGTATAACGAAAAGTAGAAAACCTTACAAAGGGACATGGTTTTCTACGAATAACACCCAATCTTCTATACAAATAGGAACCTCATGGGTTAAATAAGGGAAAAGAGGCTACTACTCCTCAAGGGTGAACAAGATCTTTTTATGCTCCATCATAAGCTCTCCTATTCCTCTCATTCCAATCAACCCACATGAGTGCTAGGGGAGCAACATTCCAAGCTCCACATTTTCTCGTCCGTCTTCTGAAGGCCCAACTAAACATAGCTTCTTTCACCGTGCCTGGCATCACCTACTTGAAACCAAACCAACTCAAAATTCCTCCCCACAAATAAGATGCTATCCGGCAATGAATAAGGAGGTGATTCACATCTTCTCCCGATTCTTTGCACTTGAAGCACCAACTAACACATATAATCTTCTTCTTCCTCAAATTCTCCGCCGTCAAGATCACCCCTCTTGTAGCTAACCAAGTAAAGAAGCACACCTTTCTCGGTACCCATGGAATCCATACCGAATTATATGGGAAGACATGCTCCTCCCTAGATAGAAGCTTCTCACAATAGGACTTCACAGAAAAAATGCCATTTCCCCCATCACTCCATCTCCATGTAACATGACTATCTAGTGAAATTTTTTGGCCGTGAAGCAATCCAAGCTAGTTTTGAAATTCTTCTACCTTCCATTCTTGCAAGTTCTTCTAAATCTCACATCCCACTGCTCTTCTCCTCCTTGTAGACTCCACAACCGTTGGACATGCGTTTTTGTAATTCTTAGCAGTCCTTTATCAAAAAAGTTCCTTTTACAGCAGTTACGTTTTTCTATTGTAGAATGTCCAAAAGCAAGGGTACCTAGGCAGAAGTAGCAAAGCAATCTGCTATACTTTTATTCAGATTAAAAAGTAATTTGTGCGTTCAAGTTGATTGTTGTACATCTTAAAGACCCAATTTTCTTGAATTGTCCAGTTTCACTGGTAGCCTAAAGTATGAACTTTTGGGGAGCAAATAGAACTCCAGGCTGGTAGTGGCTATACAACTGGAGTCATAACTTCAACTTCCACTATTTTTGGCTCCTTTGAATCATATTATTACAATATTACTGTATATACCAGTGCAGATGAGTGTTCTTTTCTTCAGATCTTTATTATGTTCTGGTCTGAATGTTGGTTCTTAATGGTTAAACCTGTCCTATGTTGCATGCAGTGAAGAGGAAATTAATGCATAGTTAAAATATATCTTACTACATTCTATACCAATTTCTAGTTATATCCGATAATAGAGGTAGTTGATACTTGATAGCTACTTTCTTGATAGTTCTGCATAATTCTGTCCTTCGTCCCTTTCTTTGATGGATCCTGGTGTGATTTCCTCTCGCTTAATTCTGGCATATGCTGACTATAATTCCCACATTCTTCATCCTTTTCACCATATTCAGCGTCTTAACCACCATACACACCTTTTCTGTATTTTAGATTCAACTAGTTTAGTAATTTGCTTTTAAATGTTATTCTGTCATCTCCTTTTACTTTTACTTTTTCAATATTTCTTGTGACATTTATTTCATAGGACTCTATGAAGTTAGATGTTTTGAGGAATCGACAGTGTTACTCAAGTTATCCTTAATATCCTGATCTGATTGAAGTAGCTTTGAAAGTGGTCTAGTAAACTTAAGCACATTATAGAACTAATGGCAGTAGGTGATTGAATTCTTTCTCAACCTTTAATCTTAGAGGAAAAAGAACATATTTTTAGTTCTATTTATTCTAACTGAAATAATTCCTGCTGAACCAATATACATACTGAGGGTAACTGTTGACACAAAAATGTAGGGTATTGTCTCTATTCATGCTATTGTAGTGGTATAGACATAACAGTAAATATATGCAACTTTACAAGGATAGGTATGATAATGCTCCCAATTTAAGTTTTTAAATTTAAAAATAAAATTGGCAAGGTTAATTTATGCAATTAGAAGTGTACTTTTTCCTTTTGGATTAGAAGATATATGGCTTCAAATGTCTGTTTGTTCTTTTTGATAGGTATCGCTGGATCTTGTGAAAAGCTTATATGCCAAGTTCATTGATTGGGACAATGAGATGGTTGATCCGGAAACTGGTACTCCATCCCATGCAACAAAGTAAGAAACATTGTCTTAGTTTTAATTTTTGTTTGCTGGCATATTTGCTATTCCATTTGCTTATGTATCTTCTTTCTCTTTCATGGCAGCACAGCAATTAGTGAGGATTTAGGGCAAGTAGAATATATATTGACTGATAAAACTGGGACGCTTACTGAGAACAAGATGATTTTTAAAAGATGTTTTCTTGGTGGAACCTTCTATGGGAATGAAAATGGAGATGCTTTAAAGGGTAAGGCCTTAGTTATATTTTCCGTGATTATTTATTATTGACTCGTGTATTTTCAACTTCTTCCTATATGCTGTCAAAGAAATAGATACAGAAACAGTGTCTCGATAACTTGGAGTACGACCTGATGTGGACTCAATTATCCCCACTAATGAATTTCATGTACCCATTAAAATGCTTTCAGCTTTCCAATGTGCTATTTGAGATCCTACTTTGGTGTTTAAAGATGCCTATAAATTGGAAAAAGACTTGATTTTAGACTATTGTCCAAATAAATTGCAAGCAGATTTTAGTTCCGGTTTTGATACAAGGTGCTTAGTGTAGGGCAATCCACAATCCTAAGAGTTATAGATCTATTTTTCTATTTTTCTACATCCACCTCTATTTAGCTTTTTCCTTGGTTATCTTATTGAGATGTTTAAATCGGTAGCTAGCTTTCGCACCCAAGAGCATGGCCTAGTGGTCGATGAAGTGGGTTGAAAACCATGAGGTCTCAGGTTTAAATCCCAACGGAGGCAAACATGCTAGGTGATTTCTTCCCTTCTGTCCAAGCCTTGATGGATAAAGTTACACGGTACCAGTCATGGTGGGAGATAGCAGGTACCCTGTTGAATTAGTCGAGGTGCGTGTTAGCTGGCCTGGACATGACAATTATAAGAAAAGTAGCAATCTTCTTTCTGCAAGTTCTTGTTTAGTGCAAAATACTATTTTTGTTAGTCTTGGGTTTTGAGTTTAGTTTCAGAGTGGACCATGATTTCGCTACTTTGTTTCTTGTTAAGTAGTTAGTCATGTATAGTGTCCCACATCGGGAAACAGATACTTATTATTATGTAATCACCGTATATAAATAAGGTTGTACAACACTTTAATTAAGCACTAATATTTTCTCCTGTGCTTTTTCACATGGTATCAGAGCATTGGTGAGATAATTATCGTTGTGCCTCATTCCAACGACATCCGGGAAGAAATCAGTCGTCACCGTGCAATTTTCCGGTGACCTGAGAAGCTGATTGCGTCAAAATCACTTTTTACCGGTGTTGTGCATGAACCAACACCACCACAGTGTTCTCCATCCCCGGGCGACCAAACCCCACCGGAAAACACCTCCCCACGCGCTCTCACGTGCCAGTCAAAGAAATAAATTCCAGCAAGATTTGCTCCACGCGCCGGCACGTGGGGACCTTTCCGGAAACTTTTTGAAAAAATTTCTTTAGGACAGCTTGCTCGCAAGGGAATTCCGAGCCTACCCATCCAGATTATTTTTCCGGTGTGAACAATAATTTCCAGAAAATTTCTGCTTTTTCGGCGCAACATTATAATGGCATTCGTATCAGAAGCCTTTAACTCACAATCCGTTGAATCCAATTCATTGGATCCAATCCAGACGGTTTCTTTATCGGATTATGTTGAGTTCCTTCGGTACAAAGTGTCAAAATAGACATCTTCAGGGATAGCTTCTGTTGTTCAAACAGATAGTAGCGTGACTTGTGTCTCCCAATCTTCAACCTTTGAGTCTTGGGTCATTGATTTAGGTGCATCTGATTATATTTCTGGTAGCAAATCTCTTTTCACTACTATTTCATATTCTCAATCTCTTCCAACAATCACAATGGCCAACTGATCTCAAACCATGACAACTGGAATAGGTCAAGTAAGCCCACTTCCTTCTTACCTTTAAATTCAGTTCTTTATGTTCCCAATAGTCCTTTTAATCTCATAGCCGTTAGTTGCTTAGCCAAATCACTTAAATACACTATTTTATTTCTTAATAACCTTGTTTTTATATAGGAATGCAGTACGGGGCGGATCATTGGTATCAGGCGTGAATCAGATGGACTTTATTACCTTATCCTTGCAAAATCACATGGACTCACATCTTGTCTTCCTTCAATAACTTGTCTTGTTACCGATTCGCCAGATTTATAACATAAACGGTTGGGACATTCCAGTTTGTCAAAACTTCAAAAAATTGTACCTGGTTTATCTCACTTGTCCATTTTAGAGTGTGAGTCATGTCAGCTCGATAAGCATACCCGCTTCCATTTCCCTCGGCGTCTTGATAATCGAGCAGAGTCACCTTTCACTTTAGTCCATTCAGATGTTTGGGGTCCTAGTCGGGTTAGTTCTACCTTGGGATTCCGCTACTTTGTCAGTTTCATTGATGATTATTCCAGGTGCGCTTGGATATTTTTGATGAAAAAGCGGTCTGAGTTGTTTTCTATTTTCCAGACCTTCCACGTTGAAATTCAAAATCAATTTGGGGTTTCTATCCGCACATTTCGTAGTGATAATGCCCTAGAGTATTTGTCTTCTCCATTTCAGCAGTTTATGAACTCTCGCGGGATTATACATCAAACATCTTGTCCGTACACATCTCAACAAAATGGGGTAGCTGAAAGAATAGCTGAAAGAAAGAATAAACATCTTATTGAAACTGCTCGTACCCTACTCATACAATCTCATGTTCCGTTGCGTTTTTGGGGGATGCAGTTCTTACATCTTGCTATCTTATTAATCGTATGCCATCTTCAACTATCCAAAATCAAGTTCCATTCTCTGTCCTGTTTCCCCACTTACCTTTGTTCTCTCTTCCACCCCGTGTCTTTGGAAGCACGTGTTTTGTTCATAACCTTACTCCAGGAAAAGATAAGTTAGCTCCTCATGCTCTTAAGTGTGTATTTTTGGGTTACTCGAGAACGCAAAAGGGGTATCGATGCTACCTCCAACGATACCTTATGTCCGCTGATGTTACCTTCTTTGAAACCCAATCATACTTCACAGGTCCAGGTAATCACTTAGATATTTCTGAGGTGTTACCAGTTTCATCTTTTGGAGATTCAGTCACTATCTCCCATTCATCTTCCTCTACAACTCCAGTTGCAGCTCCACCACCTACAGCTCCAGTTCCACCACCTAGTCCAGTTCAACCTTCTGCAGCTCCACCACTCTTGACTTATCATCGTCGTCCAAGTCCAGCATCAGGCCCAGATGATTCACGTCCTACATCAAATTCTGCACCTATAGTGGACTTGTCTCCTCTTAGTCAACCAATTGCACTATGCAAAGGTGTACGATCCATACTTAATCCTAATCCTCATTTTATCGGTTTAAGTTATCATCGTCTGTCATAATTTCATTATGCTTTTATATCATCTTTGTCCACTATTTCTATCCCTAAGTCTACAAGTGAGGCACTATCTCATCCAGGATGGCGACATGCTATGATTGAGGAGATGTCTGCTTTACATGCGAGTGGCATTTGGGAGCTTGTTCCTATTCCTTCAGGTAAGTCTACTGCTGGTTGTCGTTGGGTTTATGCGGTCAAAGTCGGCTCGGATGGCCAGGTTGGTCGGCTTAAGGCTTGTCTTGTTGCAATAGGTTACACTCAGATTTGGGCTTGATTATAGTGAAACTTTTTCTCTCGTGGCTAAAGTAGCATTTGTACGTCTTTATTTGTCCATGACTGTTGTACGTCATTGACCTCTTTATCAGTTAGACATTAAGAATGCTTTTCTCTACGGTGATCTTGAGGAAGAAGTTTATATGGAGCAACTACCTGGTTTTGTTGCTCAGGAGGAGTCTAGTGGTCTTGTATGCCGATTGCGCATGTTACTATATGGTTTGAAACAGTCCCCTCGAGCTTGGTTTGATAAGTTCAGCACAGTTATTCAGGAGTTCGGCATGACTCGTAGTGAAGCTGATCATGTTTCATCGGCATTCTGCTCCTAATCTGTGTATTTATCTGGTGGTTTATGTTGATGATATTGTTATTATTGGCAATGATCAGAATGGTATTACTAATCTGAAGCAACATCTCTTTCAGCACTTCCAGACTAAGGATCTGGGCAGATTGAAGTATTTTCTAGGTATTGAGGTCGCTCAGTCTAGCTCAGGTATTGTTATTTCACAGCGGAAATATGCCATAGACATTCTTGAGGAGACTGGAATGATGGGCTGCAGACCTGTTGACACTTCTATGGATCCAAATGCTAAGCTTCTGCCTGGACAGGGGGAGCCTCTTAGAGATCTTACGAGATATAGGAGGTTGGTTGGCAAATTGAATTACCTCATAGTGGCTAAACCTGGTATTTCTTTTCCAGTGAGTGTTGTATATCAGTTTATAGATTCTCCCTGTGATATCACTGGGATGCAATTGTTCGCATTCTTCGGTATTTAAGGTCAGCTCCCGGCAAAGGGTTACTATTCGAGGATCGAGGCCACGAACAGATTGTTGGGTACACAGATGCTGATTGGACAGGATCACCTTCTGATAGATGTTCTACGTTTGGATATTGTGTTCTAGTAGGAGGTAATTTGGTCTCTTAGAAGAGCAAAAAACAGAATGTAGTTGCTCGATCTAGCGCCGAAGCCGAATATCGGGCCATGGCTATGGCAACGTGTGAGCTAGTTTGGGTCAAGCAGTTGCTCAAGGAGTTGAAGTTCGGAGAAATCCGTAAGATGAAACTGGTGTGTGATAATCAAGCTGCTCTTCATATTGCGTCAAATCCGGTGTTCCATGAGAGGACTAAACACATTGAGATCGACTGTCGCTTTATCAGAGAAAAGATACTCTCAGGAGGTATTGTTACAAAGTTTGTAAAGTCGAATGATCAGCTAGCAGATATTTTCATTAAGTCTCTTACTGGTTCTCGTATTAGTTACATCTGTAACAGGTTCGGTACATATGATTTATATACACCGGCTTGAGGGGGAGTGTTAAGTAATTAGTCATGTATAGTGTCCCACATCGGGAAGTAGATACCTATTATTATGTAATCACTGTATATAAATAGGGTTGTACAACACTTTAATTAAGCAATAATATTATCTCCCATGCTTTCTCACACTTCTTTTGAAAAAGAAAAAAAAAGTACGAAAGTGGCTGCTTGTCTGCTTTAATCACAACTTTGCTGCTTGCCTGATGCGGCAAAAGTTCAGAAAAAGGTATTTCCAGCTCTTTCTTTTCCTTTTCCTGTCAATCCAAACTGTGTTGACTCTCTGTTTGAAATGAGGGAGACTCCTCAAGTGGGTACCCTACAACTTGAGCATGTGAAGTATGCAGATAATTAGCATTGCATGAAACAAACATACAGGACCTCACTCAATTCTAAAGCTTGGGATTTAGATAGTTGCTTCCATGTTTGAGAATGATGAATTGGAATAATATTTATAACTAATTTGTGGAGCCTATGATTTATAAGTGAAAAGGTTTTGTCAGGTTGTTTTCTCAATTCAACCTATCAACTTTTCCTGCTTATCTACATCGTCTACTCTTATCTTACTATTGAGTTCCTTTCTTAAGGAAAACACTTCCAATCCATGTTTGAATGTTTAGCTAGTATGGGCTTGCATTTTGTATATCTGGATAACGTTGTTTGTTCCAGCTGGAAGTTTTTACTGCTCTCTTCTGTGTCTTGGAAATCTGTTGATCAACACAACTTCAAACTTTTGATCCTAGGGAGGACTATAACATCTTTCGCATAAAGTAGTCTCTCTTCTGTGCATCATCTTCAACTTATTTTGACCTTTCCTTATCTGATTTTCCTCTTTCTCTGGGTTGAGAACTAATGTGTTCTCCATACTCTTTTTCCTTATCAATTACCCTTCTCGCAAAAAAGAAGGTTAAACAAAACTTTGTTTCTCGTGCAGATTCAGAGCTGCTTAAAGCTGTTGCCGCTGGTTCCCCAGATGCTATCCGATTTCTTATTGTCATGGCAATATGTAACACAGTAGTTCCTGTACAAAGGTATTGGATGATTTGTCTCTGTCTTGATGAAGTCATCAAATTTTATATATTCTAGGATGGTCATTATTGGTGTCTCTGTTTTCTTTCTGCAGTAGAATTCTGTTTCCTGGTACCTTATAATTATTTTTCTTTCATTAACTTTCATATTTCTTCTATTACTGCCCATAGCAAAGCTGGAACTATTTCATACAAGGCACAATCTCAAGATGAGGAAGCGCTTGTGCGTGCTGCAGCTGGCTTAAATATGGTTTTTCTTGAAAAGAAAGGGAATATTCTTGGTATGAATCTGTGTGAGGAAGACAATAATACTATTTACATTTTTTATATAATTGTAATATTCTTTTCTCTTGGAACCTTCTTTTCTCACGCAGATATCAATTTTAGTGCTTCATTGGTCCAGTATGAAGTGTTGGATACCCTAGAGTTCACTTCTGACAGAAAAAGGATGTCTCTGGTGGTCAGGGACTGCCAAAATGGAAATATCATACTTCTATCAAAGGGAGCAGATGAGGCTATTCTGCCTCATGCACATGCTGGTGATAATTCTTTACCCAGTAGTACTGTGTTCCATAAATTAACGGAGGAGAATTCTGAATCTCTGTGAAAGTTGATGTTTGTGTTTTTCTGTTAAAGGATTATACCAACATTTTATCTACAATTTCTTCTCTCATATGACACTATGTATTTGCTGCGAATGTATCATGTCACCTATGTTATAATAGTTATGTAAATAGGAGTAAATAACCCTAATCCCATATGTATTAGGAGTAAGACATGTTATTTTTATATATCTATATATATATATATATATATATATATATATAGGGCTCATTGTATTGTGTTTAACATAAGAGAATAATATCAATAATATTTTCTCCCGTGCATTCTCACATGGTATTAGAGCAGCAGTGAGAAAACACCCGGGAAAGAAAACCCACCCAAAACAGTTGCCGTGCATCAATTCCGGCGACCTTTTAGGGTTGTTTTTCGAAAAAAATCAATTTCCATCAGTGTTGTGCAAAAACCAACACTACCCAACATCCCCCAACCCTGGCGACCAAACCCCATCAAACACCTCCGGCAGACAACCTCTCACGCGCCGCCACGCGCAACCCGGAGGATTTTTTTTCCGGCGAGATCTGCTTCACGCGTCGGCGCGTGGAGCCCTTTCCGGCCATTTTTTGACGACGAATCTTCATAACAGTTGGGTCGACTACTAATTCCGACCCTACCCATCCTATTTTCGTTTGATTCCGACCACTTTGCGTTTTTTCCGGCATCTACACTGATTTTTTCTGGCAGCTACAGTAATTTCCCAGCAAAAACAGTGTTTGCTTCATCTGTTCCAGCGAGTTTTCACGATGTCTTTGGGAGTCTATGCTTTCGGGTCTAAAAACCCGGGTTCTGGCAGTTCCGGTGTTATGATTACCTCATAACCTTTAATGGAGATTCAAACTACTTAGCTTGGGCTTCGTCTGTCGAGTTGTGGTGTAAAGGTCAAGGAGTTCAAGATCATTTAACAAAAAAGGCTAGCAAAGGTGATGAAAAGGCCAAAACACTATGGGAGAAGGTCGATGCTCAGTTATGTAGTATCCTGTGGCGATCTATTGATCCCAAGTTGATGCCTTTGTTCCGTCCATTCCAGACATGTTATTTAGTTTGGGAAAAGGCTCGTAATTTATACACTAATGACATATCTCGTTTCTATGGTGTAATATCGCGAATGACAAGCTTGAAGAAATAGGAATTGGATATGTCTACTTACTTGAGACAAGTACAGGCAGTCATGGAAGAATTTGAGACATTGATGCCAGTTTCTGCTAGTATTGAAAAGCAACAAGAGTAACGAAAGAAGATGTTTCTAGTTCTTACACTCGCTGGACTCTTTAATGACCTTGATTCAGTACGTGACCAGATTTTGGCTAGTCCGACTGTCCCCACAGTTCATGAATTATTCTCTCGATTACTTCGCCTTGCTGCAGCACCAAGTCACCCAGTGAGCTCATCACAGACACTTGACTCATCTGTCCTCGTATCCCAGTCAGTGGACAATCGGGCATCTCATACTATGGAGAATAGACGAGGAGGAGGTCGTTTTGGAAGATCTAGACCCAAGTGCTCTTATTGTCATAAACTTGGACACTCATGACATGTACTATTCTTTACATGGTCGCCAACCCAAAAATGCTTATGTTGCTCAGACTGATACTTCTGTTGCTGGTAATCTTTTGCTTGTGTTTCTCAGTCTAGTACTCTTAGACAATGGGTTGTGGACTCAGCTGCTTCTGATCATATCTCTGGTAATAAATCACTTTTGTCAAATATTGCGTATTCACAGTCTCTTCCCACTGTTACTTTAGCCAATGGGTCTCAAACCAAAGCAAAAGGAGTTGGACAAGCGAATTCCCTACCCTTTGTCACTCTAGATTCCGTTCTCTATGTCCCTGGCTGTCCTTTTAATCTTGCATCTATTAGTCGTTTGACTCGTGCCCTCCATTGTGGTATATATTTTATTGATGATTCCTTTATTATGCAGGACCGTTGTACGGGGCAGACGATTGGAACAGAACTTGAATCAGAAGGCCTTTACTACTTTAACTCACTCAATTCCTCCAAGGAATGTCTAGTTACAGATATTCCGGACCTAATTCACAGACGTTTAGGACATCCAAGCTTCAGAAGATGGTGCCTAGTTTGTCTAGTTTATCTACATTAGAGTGTGAGTCATGTNGGTGACCTTGTGGATGAAGTTTATATGGAGCAACCACCTGGGTTTGTTGCTCAGGAGGAGTCTCGTGGCCTTGTATGTCGCTTGCGCCGATCACTTTATGGTCTAAAGTAGTCTCCTCGAGCCTGGTTTGGTAAGTTTAGCACAGTTATCCAGGAATTTGGCATGATTCGGAGTGAAGCTGATCACTCTGTATTCTATCGGCATTCTGCTTCGAGTCTCTGTATTTATCTGGTGGTCTATGTTGACGACATTGTTATTACCGGCAATGACCAGGATGTTATTACTAAATTGAAGCAACATCTCTTTCAACACTTTCAGACTAAGGATCTGGGCAAACTAAAGTATTTTCTGGGTATTGAGGTCGCTCAGTCTAGCTCAGGTATTGTGATCTCACAACGAAAGTATGTCTTAGATATTCTTGAGGAGATAGGAATGACAGGTTGTAGACCCGTTGACACTCCGATGGATCCGAATTCTAAACTTCTGCTAGGACAGGGGGAGCCTCTTAGCGATCCTGCAACATATAGACGGTTGGTTGGTAAATTAAATTACCTTACAGTGACAAGACCTGACATTTCCTTTTCTGTGAGTGTTGTGAGTCAGTTTATGGATT